TCGCTAAAACATGGATGAGTTATAGTTAAAAATATTAAGGTATACGTTTCCGGAAGTTTATTCGACAGAAGAAAAGCTTGTATGACTTTACAAGAAAAAATGCAGAAGAGCTTAACTTGCCAAAAATAAAAGATACGTACAAGTTCACCCTACACAGACATTGATGAGAAAAGATTGCAGAATGCCGCAAGATAGACATGGCGGACAAAATCCACAAGCTACAAGTTTTTATCATCATGAAAAAATCATACAGACCTTGCAGGGTTTGCGTATTTAGATATCTTGTGTATTACAAGTGATAGTAGGAAGGAAAAAAGTCCGCAGGCTATGCAAAGTGAAGCATCTGCGAGATATATCGCATGAACGCATGTAAAAGTTTCTGCATGGTGTGCCTAGAGGAGACTCCTCCAGGATCCTGCAGAAAAGAAATTCAAAAAGTGAGTGTATTAAAGAATCCTGCTCAATTATACTCAACAACTTGCAGGAAAATTTTCGGCGAGGTAACGTGATGTAAAAACTTGCAGTATATATCCAACATTCACAGGATTTTTTCAGATTCCTGCGTTGACACGCAGGAATTCGTAAATTTTTTTCAGCCTATAGGCTGAATAAAAGAAATAGCACTATGTAGCCAAAAATTGAAGTTATGTCATTCAGAGAGATGTGGTCACAAGGTCTTTGCATTTCGTGTAAAAAGATTGATCTTATAAAATGTATTCTAGTATTATTTCTGAAGGTTATTTTTAAAACATACGATTCTCGGTTTTCTTTCTGCAGAAAAAAATTTGGTGCGCTTTTTTTTTCTGTTTTCGCATATTTATGAATAATATCAATACTGCTTTGTTTTCCTAATCCTTGTTTATGAAGGAATAATGAAACCCAGCTTTATAGACTTAATCCAAACAGAAAAACAAGTATTATGTATATACGATAAACTGTTACTCATTTCTTATTTTAACTAAAAAAATGGTTCAGCTCACTGTTCTTACACTGCTAATTATCTCTTCGCAGTATAAATCAGTATTGTTACTAACTTGTTTCAATTGCCCTCTTCTACAGTTACATCTAAATAATAATTCAACCACCATTGATACGTATACTTGTGATCGCACACAAGCAACAAAATGTCGAGCTACACTCGAAATTGAATATTTTGCAAATGATATCAATAATACAATTGATTGCAAGATGCAGGCCGCTAATGACACATCCATTATTCCCGAATCACAAAATAAATTATCGGCATGGATCTATTTTAATTCATCGTCCAAAATAAAACGTTTAATTGACTACAATTGTACAATGATGGACGGATGTGAATATGATTATATTCAAGAGATTTATGCAACAACCCTACAAATAATAAATTATGAACAATTATGGAATAATCTATCAATAATATTGTATGATGACCAACATAGCACAGGTTTATTAGTGTGTGAAAATGATGATGATCAACCCGAAGAGTGTCAGAATGGATACTGCCATGTTTTAACAAGATTTTCTTCTTATGCTAATGTTGATCAACTTGAAATTTCCAAAACATGTGAGATTTATAGTAATGATAGTGAACAACAACCACAGCTATCTATATCAACAACGAATAGTTTGTCAGTTATGAAATATACATGTAATAAACATATGTGTAATAGACAAATAACCGTCAATCAAATACGCGATATATTGTCATCATCATTAATTGTGTCAATGCCAGAAAGTAACACTTCTACAACTACTATATATGCGACAACAACCACAACAGTTATAACACCACTGTCAACTATTGCTTGTTTAAGTTGTTTTCAAACACTAAATTTAACTGAACCATCATCTGCATATATAACTTACTGTCAATTTGAACTTGCAATCAAATGTAAAAGCTCATTATCGGTCGATTTCTCTACTCAAGAAGTTTCAATTCATTTTGAACCAATAATCATCGATGATGGACTTCAGTTTCCACAAATAGAGATTATAATGAGAACACAGATATACTTAGATCAATTAAATCGAATAGAACATCATATGACATATCAATGTTCTACTAGTTCTCTATGTAGTTTTAAGTATATTGATATGTACTATCACGAACATATTCGGATATTGAATTTTCAAGGTCTGTGGTATAATCTGGCATCATTGTTATACGATACAAATGTACAAAACACAACGAGTATCATCTGTTTTACTGGTACTGCTGATGAATCCGTCATGCATTGTGGTAGAAACGAATATTGTCATTTAAGTGTAACATTTTCAAATAAAAGCGAACAAATAAAAACGAACAAAATGTGCAAACCAATTGATATTTTCAAAACATTGATTTTAACAACTGATTCAATAGCGGCTGAAACAACATTAGAATATATTTGTAATAAAGAGGAATGCAATGGACAGAGCATACTCAATCTAATACGTGATATATTAGAATCCGTATTGTTATTACCGATATCTCAGACAACAACACCGACTACAGCAAGTACAACAACAACAGCATTACAGTCAACTGTTTTGTGCCTTAGTTGTGTTTCATCTGTGAATTTAAACAAATCACCATCAATCAATACGACCAATTGTCTAGTTGAACGTGAACAATCATGTGAAGGTTCATTATTTATTCTGAAACGAACAATATCATTGCCCATTTTAATTCATTAAACTATGGTAATATGGATGGTTTCGAATTATATACAACGATAAATTTCAATAAAAGACACCAAATTCAAACTCATGTAACATACAAATGTTCCAAGGGTAATCTATGTAATTACGAATACATAGATCAGTTTTACCAAACATATATACGTATATTAGACTATCAAACACTATGGTCAAATTTATCATTATCATTAGATAAAAATACAAATACGATAAATGATAAATATTTGATGTGTTATAATGTACATTATGAGCCTGTTAATTGTACAGATGGTTATTGCTTAGCTGGTATGAACTACTCGTTAGAAATGGAACAAAGAGGCACACTTCGTACATTATGTGAACACGGACCATCATCTATTAGCAGACAGATGGATATTGTAATAAATTCTAGAGTAAATGGAATATACATTACTTATAATTGTAGGAAAAACTTGTGTAATGGTCAGGATGCTTTTGATCAAGCACGTCATCTAATACAATCGTCATCATTGTTAGAAATACCTGATCTTATACCAACAACGCCGGTAATGACCACAAGTACAATGGTTACTACCACAACGTCAGTTACAACTGCACCAATATCATCCAGTGTAGCACCATCGTCAACATCATCAAGGCAAAGAGAAACAACCATTACATTATACTCCGTTGGCGGTCAACTTAAGTATGGTTATTATGTTCTGTTAATCGCTGTCATAATAACATATTTATCAAACATTACTCGAAGAAAGAGCTAGAATCTCACTTCCTTTTTAAAAACTTTTTTAACAGATAGTATTAAGTACACATTAACAAACTTCAAATAAATAGAGGAATAACATTATGTTCAATGTCAACAGCAATCAGACAATTTTACCCCAGTTTTGAAGTTCCTCTTTAAAAAAACAAAGATTAATTTAAACATAGAGTTTAATTTAAAACGTATAATTTTATATACAAAAGAAAAGTATTTTATTGATACCAGTCGGAGTAAATCAAGCGCGCAGTCCTTGGGACTATCTTTGTGTATTATCTATCCCAATACAGTTGAGAATATGTACGCCAAACCTGTTGTATCTATCTCAGTAAGACGACTAATGAGAAAATGAATGATCGCTTCGAAAAATCATATCGTTGAATTACTTTGACAATGTTCGACTGACATATTCTCAACTGTATTGAGGCATATTACAAAAAGACAGTCTCAAGTTCGTTTAGTCGAAAACATGAGTTTTTCTGTAACTGAGAAGCGATTGTAAAACAAATTCATTGAATCCAAACAGAATATAATGTGAATATCGAGATCATGGTCAATCACTTAATCGAGATAAGAAGTACTATAATATTTTTATTTTACAAGAATATCTGGAAGTTGCTGAAAACAAAAATGCTCTTATAACTTGGTTAAAATCCGAATTTTGAAACTGTAGTCAGTAATTTGTTAAATTAGTGCTGTTGATCTTGAAAAAACGTTTTTTCTTTTCTTTTCTTTTCCTTCGCATTCAAGCGACCATGTTCGATGTCAAGGCTAGCGAGAAAGCTAAACAGATGGCGCAAACGTTTGATTTTTACTACTCGTTACTATACGGTGAACTACCGTTAGTAAAACAAATATTCAAAAATAAGAAGGGCAGCCGATCGACTTTGTACTCACTATGATTTTTAAAGCCATGTAGACGTGATCCACTAGCATTTATAGCTTTACATTGAGCTATAAGTATACGTTATGCGGTATAGATATTCGTATGAAAAGATTTCGGCTAAAAACTCCGTATTTCGAAGTAATACCAGTATCATAACCCTAAAAAGCAATTTAACTCTGCTTTTTCCATCGAAAAATGCATTGGGATTTTAACCATGGACCGTTAAGAATCACCCATCTTTATTTATCTCAAAGCCGTTTTTATCTCATAGCCAGTTTTTAGGTGCGACCTGTCTTCCAATGAGATGGCTCACGTTCACCTGCTCCCCACAAACTTCAGTTGGATAAGGATTGACCGAGTTGAGGCCATCTCACAGGAAGACAGGTCGCACCTAAAAACTGGCTGCTTTTCTGATCTTCGTTTAACTCCAACAGGAGAAAAACTGTGTCCAACGATTCAAAGTGGTCGAAGGTTTATGGATCCATGGCTTTGGCCTATGTATAGTGGCGGAAACCGCGGTTCTGGACCGAAAATCGGCTTTCCAGGGTTCTAGCAAGTCAAAGCTAGCATCTGCACCAAACGTCAGAAAAATCTGAAAATTTCTGCGTTTATAGGGTAGACATCGGTCTACAAAATAACTGATACTTGTCAAGCATTTTGATTCTCAGTTAGATAGATGCCCCCAATCATCTTCTTTCCAACGATAGATATCCGAACTTAACCCTTGTGCTAACAACCAGGGTCTATTTAGACCCTGTTCTCAAAAAACAAGAAAATGAGATGAAATTTTTTTTTGCATGGATCGAAGTATGAGATACATTCTATGAATGTATTCTATTTGTTGTGTCTAAAATAGGCTTGGAAGTACAAGGGTTAATAGCTGTCAACGTTCCCCAGTTGTTCAACAAGCAGCCGAGTGCATTCTGTTTGGAAACTGACTGTAATTATTATCACTGTCATAATTATGTAATCTTGTGAATTTGTTTTTTTATCTGTCACAGCATACAAACCACACATTAACCATTGGTTCTGAATGCCTGGGTAACGAAGAAAACTATCGCATTTTTTATTCTTCTTTTAGCGACATGGCACATTTTTTTGAATTTTCGAACGATTGTAGGAACACGAAGAAAAATTACGCTTGCGTCAGTGATCAAAGAAGTAGAAGAAAAATATTTTTTAGAGATGTTAACTACTGCAAGAAGATTTTATTAACTGTTCTCATTTTTTATCAAATAGAAATAATAAAAAGCATCAAAAACATGTTATTACTTATTCTCCTTTCTTTCTAACAGAACTGCAAAATTTTCTCGTGAATTTTTTCTCACAATTATGTCATATTTGTACTGAAAGGTAAATATGACAATGCGAGACTACGTGTAAATGCTGGCCTTTAAAAGAAGAAAAATATGACAACAAGTATTTGTATTTGCTGAAGTGAGGAAGCGAGCGTGTGTCAAAAAATTTTTTGATCCTGAGTTGCGTGTAGTAAGCAGATGGCCACTAGTGTAAGTTATCAACAATCGTTGACAGACTGTGAACATTTCATCAAAGGAAAATGCAAAAGACGCGATAATTGTATATTTCGCCATTGTCCGGAAGCAGCTCAAACCACAAAAAATTGCTACCGATGGCCAGCGACATGCAAAAATGTCAATTGTAAATATAGGCATTCAAAATTTATCAAATCACCTGATGATCAACAACTGTCGGAGACGCTTTCAAATTTGATATTACCGCCACAACAGCTACAGCAACATCATCAGGACGAGTTAATCAGTCTATTCTGGGACATCGAGAATTGTGCCATTCCTCGTCTGCAGTCGCCTTTCGAGATTGTCAAACGTATACGTGAGACGTTGGTTATGGCTCCTCGTAAAAAGGAAATCGGCTTCAACTGTTATTGTGAGTGTAACTCGATCTCACAAGAAAACCAACAAAGTCTCTCACACGCTAATGTGCGCATGATTCACGTCCCGGATAGAAAACCTGGCGCTGTTGATCGATACATTATGCTAGATTTAGATCGTTTTGAACGAGCTCATAAGCCACCTGCCACTGTAGTTCTGATATCTGGCGATATCGATTTTGTCGGCAAGCTGAGCGATTTGAGGCATCACGCAGGCTTTAACGTTATAGTTATTCACAATCAGCCAGCAAAATCCGAGCTGAAAGCGACAGTCAATGCCCATTACGACTGGTCAATGTTTACCGGATCTGCACAGGTGGTCACACAACCGTTCGTTCCTCGAACTACGTATAATCAACTAGGTGCTCCATTTCCGCGGTTCGCTGTTCTACCGACGAATCAACCTCCACCAAATCGTCTTCCCCTACCGCCCTCCCATTGGTTACCTCGTTCACGATTAAATAGACCAGACAGCCAAGGCTTGTGGTCAAGCCCCGAGCCAAAATTCCAACAGCCACGGCGTTCAAATTCTAGACAACGCCGCCCGTCTCGACCTCAGCAAGAGCAAAAAGTACACGACTGCCCAGAATGTCACGATGAATTTGGATCTATCGACGCGCTCCGTCAACATCAAAATGCTACGGAGCACCTTTTCGACTGTCCAAAATGTCCAAATCGATTTTTCACCTTCGACGGTTTACTGCAGCATATGAAAGCCAAACACGGCGATGACCTGAGTGATGATTCGCAGACATGTTCATGGTGTAATGCATCATTCAACAGTATTCCATCACTGATTCAGCATCAAAGAGATAGACATGACTCTTGGAATACTCGACCAGAATCCAGTGATAACGAAGAGGACTAACGCATGTCGTGCCATTTTCAGCAAATTTATCCAAAAATTGAATCAATAGAATCAAGACACTGTTAGCATTTTTTTCAAATAATCACGGTATTATTAATTTTTTTATCCTTATATTTCGAATTCACGGAAAGTTTCCTGCATTAACAAAATGTAGTTTTTGTCTAAATATAATTTTCTTCTCTGCTTCATGGTTTCGTTGTAACGAGAACATGGACAAATTTAGAGAGTGTTAGATAAACTCGCTAAATTTGAAGAGAGGAAATGTGTTGGTTACTAGTTAGTGATAAAAAAGAATGATCAATAACTAGTTCTGACAATAGCAACCACAGCAAAATGTATTAAATTGTAAACTGATGAAACAAATAAGGGATTATTATACTGGCAAAAGTTGGGATACAAAATTTGTCTCTGATAGGGATACATAGTTTTGGGCGTATCCTAAAAGGAGCGAACTGATGCAAGTGTCATCAGTTACCGTACGCTGTACAACCTTCATTTTGCCAGTAAAAATATCTCTCAATAATCGATTTGATAAAGACCTTTTCTTTGGTTTTACTTTTAAAATTGATTGAGTACAATAACTACAATTTTGTACTATTTTTCACTGTAATCAGTATGTATTTGACTTGCTGTTTGACAATAAACCGAAACAATTATCAAATTTTTAATATCTGTGTGACCCATGCAACGTCTGCGTCAGGATATGCGCGAGGAATGTTCATAATTGGCACAAATTCTTAGTGTAATATCGAAATAAGATCTCGTTTAACCAAGTGAAACCAGCCATTTGGTTCATCAAACAACAGGCAGAGCTACTGACGACAGATTCAGCGTAGAGATGTTCGACGGTTGACAAACAAGTATCTTTTCTTCTTAAACGCAAAAATATATTTCTTTTCTTCTGACAAATCCGTATATCATGATAGTGTATAAATTGATTTTCTTTCAAACCGTAACATATAGTAGCAATAATTATGGATAAGATACATTGATTTAACAAGATGATGAAACTTTCCACTGTGTGAATGTTTCACCAAAGATGTCCTTTAGATATTCGCTCCTTCAAAGTCATATTTATCAGACATTTCATAGGACATCTCGTAGTCCGGTAACCAAGGACTATAATAAAAGCGAAAAAATTAGTCATTTCAATGCGAAGGTGTTTATGTAACAACCAAGCTATTTTGATGAAATTTATGAAGCGTGAGTCCTTGTTATGGTTGGAAAGAAAATCAATTTATGCACTATCATGATATATTGATTTGTCAGAAGAAAAGAAAAGATGTTTTTGCGTTTAATAAGAACAGATACTTGTTTGTAAGGCATAGAACATAATTTTGCTGCTTAATCTCGATTCCTACCTGTCTACTCAAAGCGAACCTTAATTCTTTGCTTAAAAGTTTCATAACTTCATCGAAGAACATAGTCATCTTTTCCATTTCAATTATATAAAACATATTAACCCTCTGACTATCGGGGTCTTATATATAGGACGGTAGTCTTTGCTTTGCTTACCGGTGTCTTATTAAATTTCAGATTTTGCACTCACGCAACTCTTTACAGTTAGTATTTTGGCTGCCACATGTCACTGTAAAAATCTGAAATTTTCAAGGCCTCATTTTGATATGATACCGGTAAGCAAACCAACAACCACCGTCCTATATATATAGGACACCGCTGGTAGTCAAAGGTTTAATAAAAGCATTTCATTTTCAAGCTTAGATGCTGCAAATTTGATTCAGTGAAACTAGGTATGTCCCAGTGTCAGTTAATCGATATTGAAGAAATTAGACATTATCACATTCAAGAAATTTTCATAGATGGTACTATTTGGTTTTGATGATGGTTGTATGAGAAAGTGAAGAGCAAAAGAAATCACGACATACTAAATATACATACTACTTATGTGACTACGCATGCACCGGTTATGTCGGTTAACCGCTGAAAAAAAACGACCTGCAATCGGTATTGGTTATGCTTGTAACCGATCATAAGAGATATTATCGTTCTCGTAAGTCAAGAAGCCGTAGACCTGTGTGTGTTTTTTTCTAGTTTTAGCGTTTTGAGTGTTTTGATTGGCGGTTGACCTAAACCGGTACACAGCCGCCAAATATAAAGAAGCATTCGAATTTAACCACTCACGACGATAAAATCAGATGTTTTTTTGATAATAGTAAACAGATGTTATGTGCTAACTCTTTGCCTCATTTTAAAACCTTAAACAAAACTGACTTGGGCTTTTTCAGTGTGGTTTCAAACCGAACATCGGTTTCTTCGGTGTCTGTTTTCCGGTGTGAAAGACGTAAAACGTTAAAGCCGTGAGAGCATAAAGCTCTAAAGCGTTTCATGTGTTTTCGTACTGTTTCTTTTCGTAAAAAACCGTAGACATGTTGAGGACTGTCAAATTATCATTATCCAGTATAATGATGAATTGCACACTGTGACTACACTCTGAATGCCAAAATGTTTAGAATTTCAGAATTTCAGAGTTTCTCACTGACTACACTATGAATTCCAAAATGTTTATACTGTCAGAATTTCAGAATCTCAGGAATTTTCGAAGAATCTCAGATCATGACGTCGTATGCAAAATATTCGCCGAGAAAATAATTTCCAGCTTGTTGTTAGCATGCGGCACTTCGTATCTTGGCTTACACCCATCTTTCCTACCTCCCTCCCCCCGCCCGTGTCCTATTATCGTCAAAAATATGTTCTTAGCCCGGAATGCTGACGTTTCGAAACTCTAGTAATCCACAAATTCAGAAATCCTCACACTCTTGAGATCAGGAAATATTGGAATTCTCGCCGTCTAGGTTATGAAATTCTGGAATTCTAATCGTGCAGAGATTATGAAATTCCGAAATTCCTGAGATTCTGAATTTCTGAGTTTGACTGGAAAGTCATCCGTATACTGTATAATGATAATTTGACAGCTCTGGACATGTTATAACCGCTACGGCTTTACGGATCGCACTATCGTGGCCATATTCTTTGACATTAATAATAGCGATTCTGATGACCTTATTTACACCGGTTATTGTTGCATTGGAAATCGCTTATTTCGCTAAGAAATTTGGATCAATTTTACATATACGTAAGGGCTTCACGAACGCCGAAATTTGGTGGCCATTGTTTGTAGTCATAGCAATCGTATCATTTACATGATCGGTTACTGTTCTACGTTGTTCAAATTTTCGTTTTGATTACTGATATTCTGTTTTTTAATTAGTACTGCTCAAGTGTCAAACTCGCGTATGGTCATTGGTTGTGATCATCGCTAATATCGTCGCAGCTTCGTTTACTATTATCATACTTGGTCTAGATGCAGGTTTTATCGCACTATGGATGGCATTGTTGTGGTATTTCGAAATGACGTACGGTGAAAATGTTTTTCTCGTTCTATACAGTAAGAGTTTATATCTTCCGACCTTCGAAGTTGAAAATAAATTGAAGGCTTGCCGCCGTTCATCGTATATATTTCCATGTCCTATCTTTCAAATTTACATTAGAAAAAATCCCAGAATTTGTCAACCCACAATCTGATTGGGGCAAAGAAAAAAGGGAAAATAAGATATTTGTACGATTTCTAATAAAAAATTTAAAATTTAAAGTGGCAGAAGAAGTACCTGAGAAATAAATGAAAATGCCTTTGAATGTACGATCAAGCCAGTTAATTTACTGAAAGATACTAAATGCAGGAAAACGGGGAATATTGGGATAAGATCGTACTTCATGCATCTCAACGAGACGATTTTTTACTTTCACTATCATCTCTAATATTGAAGGCAGGTTGGGGAAGCTTCATCTCAGAGATTTTCAATCATGCTGAATCTAATGGTATTATCACCTTTTTTGGCCCCGTACTTCGCAATGGGATTCTCGATTTTTGAGCTCTGGGGTTTTACGGGGCAGTTTTTTCTTATAACAGTCTTAGACATTGAAGTCGAACAGCCATATAGGCCTGGCAGAGCATACTTTCTTTTATCTAAAAATTTTGTGTGTCTCAGACAGCTTCTGGAAACGGTCTTTTACGCAAAACCCAGGGTTTCTGGAAACCCTTTCACAGAAAGAAACCTGTTACTAGTACTTTTCCACATGATAATAACGTTGAAGTATGACAGTGCCTGGCTGATGACATGTTACCGGCTGTTCGATGTTGGATTGTACAATTCGTAGTTCGCTCCCTGAAAAAGCAATATTTTGCAAAAAGCCGTACAGATGTGGGTGGGGTGAACATGAGAGTCAGTCATGAGATAGCATGTCATGAGCGGTACTGCACTGGGGAAGGATACATGGATGGATGTTAATAAACATAGAACGTTCTATTTTACTCCTGTTTGACGAAGGAACTTTTCCAGGTGTCCAACCGCTTTTCTACCGAAATGCGGTAGTTGATAGGTAATCGATCATGCTGATTCCAAATATGTTAGCCATTTTTGTCTATAGGTCTTTCCTAACCGATTTCTGGAAAACTGATTTTCCAGAAACCTCGAAAAATCCCCAAGAGTTTTTCTGAGTAGGTCACAACTGTAACCTGCGAAAGTCTGATTAAAATGAGACATCTCCCAGCTCACTACGACCTTTCTTAGCAAAGTTATAACATTTAGAAGAAAAGCCCCAAATGTTTATTGTCACCTCAGAGCTATAGAAAGGAGAAGGAAAGATGAATTTACGGCTTTTCTTGTGAATTCTTTAACTTTGCAAAGAAAGGTCGTGTTGAGCTGGGAGATGTCTCGTTTTAACCAGACTTTCACGGGCTACACTTGTGACTTATTTAGAAAAACTCTTGGAGATTTTCGAGGTTTCTGGAAAACTGGTTTTCCAGAAATCGGTTAGGAAAGATCTATGGGCAAAAATGGCTATCATATTCGGAATCAGCATGGTCGATTACCGATCAATCACCGCATTTTGTTAAAAAAGCGGTCGTACACCTGGAAAGGTTCCCTTGTGAGAGATTCGAAATTAGTACAATTTGATTGAGTGTTCAAGAATTCATATATATATGTCAGCGTCCAAACTGAGATTACGTTCAACCTCAGATTGGCCTAGGCGAATATCGCATCCGACATTGGACGAGTCCATACTCGGAGGATCCGACATTGGACAGACAGTTATTCAGGCCATTCCCGGATAAAACACAGAACACACGTCCATTCTAAGATTGGACTGAAATAGTCAGGCGAATCTAAGATTGGACTAGTCCATTGTCAGACTGAAAGATAAGTGCGACAAATCTCGAATTGGCCTAGGCCAATGTCGGAATGAATGCACACTACTGAACTCGATATCAAAGATCATGTTTGAAAGTTATACGCTTATCAAGCAAGTAAGATTTGAGCATAGTGAAACAACAAAATAAAGCGAACAGAAACACTAGACAAAATCAATACAGGTCAATATTGTTAATGTCCTTGATTTTCGCAACATGAACTGTTTTTATGACATTTTGTGGAGCAGAAGACCTTGATCTTCTTACACGCGCATTGTTTAGTTTTGCATGCTCCTTTACAAGAGTGGGTAGTTCCATTGATTGCATCACGAACAAATAGTTTAGAGGCAGTTATCATCGATATTTCCTTCAACTTAGCGTTGCTCAACTGAACTAGTTGTTCGACTGAACTAGTTGTTCGACTGAACTAGTTGTTTAGGTACAGCTGGAAGTTTCACAACTGATTTCAATGGCCACGATTGATTGAAGACACTGAACATTCACGCGATTTTGATTTTTTTATCATCACATTTTTCAAGAACAATCGACGGCAGTATCTTTGGATCCGTATTCGTTCGATCGACCTTGTCGATTTTGATGCCAATGTAATCACCGACCGAACAACCAGACTACAATTCCGCAATATATTGATTTCGAGTTTTGATCCGTTTATTGGCATTTGACAAATAAGCTTCTTGAGTGCGCTTACGAATTGGCAAATGCGCTACGTTAGTGGCACCCAGATTGCACGCGCTGGCTTCGTCAAAGCATTGTGTTGTTTCTTCACTTCCGGTGTTAATATCAATCGAACAATTTACTTGTGACGATGAAATACCGGCAACCGTATTTATTACACCATCCAATTGAACGATTGTATCGGATATTGGTGAGTCAATTGAAATCGGCTCATTGGATAATGCGGGTGAAGAAATACTCGACTTTTTAGTATCGGTGACATCGACGTTTTGTACGTCATTAGGCATGGGATTCGAATCACTATCTACTGTGAGTTGATTCAACACCGTCTCAAGCAAATCTTGTTCGTTTTGTATACCTTCAATTATAAGAAATTAGTGTGTATTCATTCCGACATTGGCTTAGGCCAATCCGAGATTCGCCGCACTTATCTTTCAGTCTGACAATGGACTAGTCCAATCTTAGAATGGACGTGTGTTCTGTGTTTTATCTGAGAATGGCCTGAATAACTGTCTATCCAATGTCGGATCCGAGTATGGACGCGTCCAATGTCGGATGCGATATTCATCTAGGCCAACCTGAGATTGGACGTAATCTCAGTTTGAACGCTGATATATACATATACATATGAATACGGATACAGACTCTTTATCGAGTGAAATTCCAAAATTGCAGAGGAAAGCATGCAAAATATACATATATATATAAAGGGTGTTCTAGAAGTTCTGAAGTAATTTTAAAATGCATCATTCTAAAATTACTTCAGAACTTCTAGAACACCCTTTATCTCTATCCTATAGGACTACTTTAATTTTTTCGAATTTTCACATTGAAAAATCATCGAGATTTTCACGAAAAAATGAAAATGAACTAAAAATTTTGAAGTACAAATCAGTTGATACTGTTGTACCAACAATTCTCTGTCGTTGTGAAGTGTTATGAAAAACGAAAAGAATATTGTGTTATTGCCTTGTTTTAATTTGTAATTATTTAGATCTGGATCTTGACTGTATAAATAAAAGAGACACTCTATCGACTCACGAACGACTAAACTGGAGGCACTCGGTTTTTACTCAATGTGGCAATCTGTGTTTCTCCTTTGTGTACTTTTTCATGCTCTGGTCAATGATTGACTCGATAAATCGCAAGACATTCATTGAAATAGCGCAGCGCTTCCAAAGTTTTGTTCATCCTGCTGTAATAAAAACCAATATTTCTCAAAAGATTTGAAAGATGGGCATGGTCAGACGACAATGCTCGCCGGTGGTTTTCAATCGCTCTGAGATGATCTCAGTGAGATCGCATCGTAATGCATCATCCAACATGTTCTGTTTGCTATATGACAGCCCCATCCCTGCGAGATAGTAGGAGGCTATTTGATTCTCGGGTGGTGTTGAATACTCGACGATAATTTGAGCTTACTCATAATATTTGAGTGCTTTGGTTGAATCATCTTCTTGAAGCATTTTGGCCGTTGTTATCAGCGTTCGAGCGACGCGAGGATAACTTTCCCCTAGTGTGTTATTGAGTCTCTCGAGACAAAACTGCAAGCCCTTATCAGTATCGCCGATGTTGGTCAGGCAGCACACGTTTGTACATATCGAGAGCACGAGTAAGATGAACGAGAGCAGTGTCGAGGTCGTTTTTGTCACTATGCACTCTGCCAATGCATCCAATCGTCGTTGCTTTCTCTAAATTATCACCCGGATAGTTTATTTCATATATATCTAATGCTTGTTGATAATAATCGAGTATCTGCTCAAAGTCTTCTCTTCTTCTATAAATTGTTCCAATATTGTGCAACGAAGCAGCAATGTGAGGATGATCGACGACAACTGCGGTCGACGACGCTCTTATGCAAGCTTATAATTTTCCAATGCTAAGTTCACCTCGTCTCTTCTATGATGTACAATTCCAATCTTGTTCTAAACAGATGCAATTTCTGGATGATCGGATTTGAGTAGCATATGAAAATATTTGCCTGCTCTATCGACTTGACCCAATTCGTTTCGCAAAAGGCAGCCAAAATAAATAATTAGCGCAGTTTCGTCCAGTTGTTGCTTTGATAAAGTGGCATATTGCTGAATTTTTTCTGCGTTTTCGTCGGTTGTGGTCAGTCGCACTTTCCAGAGTCCAAGTGTCGAATCGAACTTAACAGAATCAATTCTGAAGATAGCATCGAGATTGAAAAGAATTTCTTGTTCGCCTTTTACACGACTCTTGTCATCAATATTGGCAAACACAACAGTTGACAGCGACGCATCAGCTCGAATTTCAAATAGAACAGTTCGAAAAGCATCTGAAATTGGACTCGGACTAGTAAAGTGAAGCGCCACATTAATGTTACGCGAAGTCGAGAAGAATCCATTAGTTGAAATAATTGTGCCGACATTCTGTTTTAGTTTTTCAAATTCATTGGTGGGAATCGTTTGCCCGTGATAGAGAGTCAAAGGGCCACTGGTTTTTAACTTAAGGCTTTCTTTCTCTAGTGCAGCACACAAGTTGATAATGAAGAATCGAAATGAGTAAAGCAGTTCAATATCTTCTGTATGAAAAGCCTTGTTCAGCAATTTATAGAGAAAACATTCGTCTGTATACCATTCTATAGCCTTCGCACGAACATAACTCACCCGAAATTCCTCGATCTTTTTTAATTCATCTTTGTTCGCTCGATAATAGTTCAGACATATGTTGAGCATGTCCTGTTTCGACTGTTCATCTTGAGGCATTTGTTTAAGAACATAAAGTAGCATTTGGTGCCAGAGAAATGACGCCGACTCTTTCGACAAATCTCTTGTTGATTTCTTTTTTTGATCGAACAAATTGAATGTTAATGTTTGTTTTCCAATAAAATTTATCGTCTCCTCAATCGATCTCACTAAACGGCCTTGATCAGTAAATACGTCGACAACCGTCTCATATTCATTCGTCAACGAGATGTAATTTTTACGTTTTCAACAGAAAATGAAAATAGCTGTCAGAGCGCGATGAGAATAGATTTTGGGAAGAACAATACGAGCCAAGACATCAGAGACGACAAGGAACACTTTCTCGTCTCTGATCTATCTAATTAAATCGACACATTGATCTGCATCAGTGAAGAACTGAACAACAGGATTTAACTCGAGTAGTACTGACATTGTGTGCACACAATCAGCTGATTCAGCAATGTTACCATCAAGCCAAATCACCTGAATATCTTTTTTGTTTTCAACAACTACGGTGAGACCAAGACTTCGCTCTCCCTGAACTAGTAGGGCAGCAGCCATCTGAGCAATAACGTATGAGATTTACTTTTTTTCTTAATCGTTCTAAAATGTAATGCGAGCAGGAAAAAAGTACAGAAACAATAACGAAATCACAGGCACATTCGACAATTTTTTTTTGCCTCTAAAAACTCATGTTAAATGCACTGGTAGTCGAAAAGAAGTGAGACCCATCAAAAGCAAGAACAGTAAAATAATTAAACGAAAGTAATTATTCTCATACAAGCTAATGTAGAATTAAACGCTTTTCTCATCGGTATGGGTTGAAAATTACTTGTCAGCAAAAACTAAAGATGACCAAAACAAAACAAAAACTAAAATTAATGAGAGTGTACTTTACTTCCACTCAATGTTACTTTACTTGGTACAGGTGATAAAGTTGATTATTTATCAACAGAAAATGGAAATGGCGTCAGAGCCCGATGAGAATGGATTTGAGGAAGAACAATACGAGAATAAATTCTGATTACTTTGTTACTTATTACTACTAAGAAGAAGTACGCTCCTTATTATACATTACGTAATAAGGCAATAAGGTCTAATTCTATGAAATTCCAACCAGCTTCTTATGTTTTCTGCCGAGTTTGTTTTCCAAATGAAATTCTTTTGTTCGCGCAAAATTCAAACAAATAACATCTACTCAATCAGGTAACTGCGATGGTCAAAAAATGAAAAAAGTGGTGACAGATTTCTAATAATAGGCCCACTGGAATTTCAGATATCCCACAATATTTTCCGTAAAATTCCGATACACAAATTGAGATTTAAGTTATTAATTCTAAGTTCGACAACGATTAAATCGTAGTGTGCGCCTTACACTAATCAACGCAGTTTTAATTTTCCGTTTTAGGTAGTTGCCACAGAAATTCGAATGTTTCAGATTTAGAATTTCGTTTGATTCTTTAAAAAATTAAGCCTAAATCATCGCTTCCACTTCTTATCCGTACTGGTTTAATTGCTGTTTCTACCATGAACAATTACAACGATTATGGGTGAATGCTTGCACGACTATTGACGCGATACGATCGCAGCCAGTATAGCTTTAAGAGATGTTTCACCTTTAGAACGTAGATCTATGCTGACAAGCTTTTCTTCTTGTTTTCTTTCAGATATCTACGGCACTACTAGCTCAGTTCATTCTCATTCAATTTTTTTACACATATATGCAACCCGGTTTCATTTTTATTCAATTCTCCGTTGCATTTTATCTATTCAGTTTACTGCTATCCTGTAATATTGCTTAAGCCCTGATTTTTATTCGAACAAAGTAGAATGCCCTTCTAAAAACACTTACTATAAATTTATATAGAGAAAGTTGTAAATATATCCATTACAGGTGATCAAAAAACGGTGGTAATCAAAGTCGAAAAACAAATGAAGTTTTCATACAAGATTTTTGTTTAGATAAAAGCAGAAGCATGCTTAGAATACCTCTACTATAGACTCCTGCGGGGCAGCCCCGAATCCCGTCCCGTCTGTCCCGCGGGACGGGACAGACGTGGACGGGACAAAAAAAAATTACGGGCTAGGGCTCATGGGCTCGGGACAAATTTTATTTTTACGGGCTCGGGCTTACGGGCTCGGGACAAAATGTCCGATATTCAAATCTAGCAGATGTATTACATATCAGTTTTGGTCTGCTGAATTTCTTTTATTATAAGTCAAAATATACATTTATCTGACTACATTTGACCATGTAATACTCTATTGTTGATTCCACTAGTCTTAGTTATCCGCATGAGAGCTCATTTGTTAATCATTATCATTATTGCCATCCATATTTTCTTCCTTTTCTCCAACAAAATCAGTTCGTTGCCGTTTAGTTGGTGATGATTGTGGTGTGGATGATGTTGATTGTAAACTATTTTTTCGCTTACTAAATTCTTCATCAGCTGGGGGGGAAATTTCTCGTAATGTAGATAAATTACGCTGGATAAACAGCAGATGATTGACTCGCCCAGTTTCTAATCGTGTTCGACGATTAGTGATTGTGTTACCGCTATACGGAAATAAACGTTCAATGGCCGTACTTGTAGCAGGAATGCAAAGTATTTGTTTAGCTAACTGAGCTAATATTGGATATTGAGTTTCATTCAATTTCCAATAATTTAAAATATTTGTTTCTTTTTCAATTTTTGTTTCATCACATAGATATAAGTCTAATTCTGTTTTGGATGATGCTGGTTTCACCAAATTACCTTTTACAATTGGTTTATCAAATATTTCATAATGGGTCAATATGTATCTTTGGTATTGGATTGACTAGTTTTTTACCATCTTTCGTTTTTGTTTTATCTTGAACATTTGTATCTAATGGTGCCAGTTTATTAAATGCGATTTTCAATAAACTTTCGGCATATAACTACGGCATATAACTAAATTTGGATGCAACATGGTCGCAAGATAATGAACATCTTGAAGTACCCAATAATCTATTACATGTTTTGCAATAAACTTCTTCAGCGGAGTTGTGTGAGTAGTATCATCATCATTAATAGCTGAACGATTAATCAATAACTGTTTATAAGGTATCACAAGGTGAAGTGTCGGTTTTTTTTCAGCACCCATGCGCTCAATCACATCATCAAAATGTTTCAAATATAAACAAACAAGTTGTAATTCATCACGACTAATAGTTAGATAATTGAGCTTCTGATCATCACTAATGACATTCGACAATTCATTGAAGACATTTAGTACAGAATTCATCATTAAATACGAACCATTAAAACGTGTTTTACAATAACTTTGAACATTAACCGATAATAAGCTTTGTTTATGACATTTTCTGACATGTGTAACAAGCTCATGAACACTCTTAAACAATGATTGTAGTTCGTCACAATTTATGTCTTTTTTTTTGAAACCGTGTTCCAATATTTTGTTGAGATAATGAGCGGAACAACCAATACGCTGAACATTGCTCTTAAATGCACATGTCATTTTATTCTCATTGTCAGTAACAATATAAACATCATCGCTCAAACTTAGCCCAAATTCATCCAATATTCTCTCAACAAATGCACGTATATTTTTTGATTGTTGTGTTTCATAGTCGTAAGCTTGACAAGCTAATGTGAACACGCGTAAATCGGAATTTGAATCAACATAATGAAGACTCACACCTCCGTAATGAATTCCTGAAATATACAATTTCTTATTCTATATCAGGCAGATATAACTAAGAATTTAACCTGTAAAACTTTCCGTCCAAAAGTCGCACGTGATACAATAACTTTTAACAGATTCACACAATGATATTAATTGGTTCTTTAATTTACTATACACACGTTCAACATTGCGACTGATCTACAGAGAAAAAACAAGAATTTTTTCAAAAACTGTTTAACTTTTCTAAAGTTAAAAGTTCTGAAAAGAGCTCTCGTGAGGGACTTCGGAATTCGATTCTGAACAACTTTTGTACTCAGGGTTTTGCTACAAATAGCTTGCTTCTATCAAAACTAGTCGTAAGGTGCTGTGAAATAGCCTTCTCTAATTTTCAAGTCTTGAATTTCTCGAAATTTCTCTTTCTCCATTCACCATAAAAAGTTACTTCTGGTGTAGATCGATAGAGAGATGTGCGGAGAACATTTGCTACTAGAAGATATGTAAAACTTTGTTCTTTCTCCTTCCTGTTATTGGCTAATTAGCGCTAATTAACGTTAGTTTATAAATAAAT